TGGATCCCAAAGCTGACAAGGGAACCACAACAGGTCGATCCGGTCATTTGCAGTGAGTTGTATAAATATGGACGTGTCTTGAGCCGCTGAATCCAAATCTGCCCTTCTATTTTGCCCCGCCGGAACGAATATATAAAAAGGGAAGTACGGACCATTTACTCTCGCTCCGTCTGCACAATTGAGAAGCGATAACTGCAAGCGACAGAGCCGCCGTCATGTGGTTATCGTTATAAGTCGCAATTGCTTTAGAGAGACCACGATGTCGATATGTCTTGAGCATCCTTGGCCTCGTGCTAGACCTTTTTTGCTTATGTCAATTCAAACACTGTAGTATGAGCCCTTCACCACGAATTTCTGTGTTGACCATTTTACCTGCCGTTTCTGATGTATTTTCGCCACGGAACGTGCGGGCGAGCTTCCCCATGTGTGGTTATTCTTCGAAACTTTTTGTATTAGTGAGTATAACCGGCATGTCAGAGAGGGTTCTTTTGCAGTGAGAATACTCATTTAACTTCATGCTTCAACGCCGAATGGTCAAACTACGCCCTGAAGACCAACGTTTTCTAGCCGGAATCCTGAGTATAGTCGACCGAAACTTGGAAAATGTTGGCTGTGGTAATCAGTAAGCAACGGGCAGAGCTCACTCTACCATCAATAACATAGGATCTCGAGATGGAACTCCCCTGCGTGCGTTAAAGAGGGGACACGACGATGCACGGAACGGCATGAATAAGTCAGAGCCTGGCCAAATGCTCTCACGACAAACCACGAAAAGGCACGACGAAGAGGTATTTCAGTTTGAAGACAAGTCATCACCAGTATGCTAGTCGTAGTATCGCTGTGGCTATCGGTCAGCCATAGCTGCTATTCATGACCCATTTTCTCGAAGATGAGTTAGAACCTCGGATTCCGCTAGGGTGACGTCTCTAGGGATTATTGCGTGAAGAGCGCTGTGGGTTGCGCTACAGGTGCTAACGCTTTGACGCTGGCGCGTCCGGAAGAAGAAAAGCAATAAAGAAAAACTTCCACAACTCCGCTCAGAGAATCGTTCCGCAAATTTTAAAGATAGTCTTGAGTTCACCGTGTCAAGATGAGTACAATTATGTACATGTCGTTGCAAATGGCCGAGCTGACGTATTGGCCTTTCCTGACCAGCTTGTGCAAACACAGCAAAGATTAAATGGTCCGTAACTCCCTTCAGAGAATCGTTCCGCAAAATCGGAGGGCAGATTTGGATTCAGCGGCTCAAGACCCCTCCATATATATACATCTCATTGTGAATCGCCGGATCGACCTGCTGGGGTTCCCTTGTGAGACAGATGTTCAAAACCGAACTCAGATCGTGCGTCCCATGTCAGAAAGTAAACAACCTACCGTTCAAATACCCTGACATGGATGACCTTCCGGAGAGGCGCATACGACGGACGCGACCCTTCGAACACGTCGGCATTTACGGAATCATTCTCACCTGCACCACTACCAGGCTGCTGCATCTCAAACTCGTACCAGACATGTCCACCACGGAACTCCTTCTTGCCTTACGCAAATTTTTTGCCAGAAGAGGAGTGCCGACGAGTATCACCTCCGACAAAGACCCAATATTTCTACTTGGGAGCAAATTCTTCGAGATGCTATTCTCCCAGTCGTGAACGACGTTACTCTGGCAACATCTATGGCCACAAAGGGAATAACATGGAAGACTATTACACCGTATGCTCCGTGGCAGGGCCTTCTACGAGCGGTTGATCAAATCCGTAAAACAATCCCTTTACAAGGTCATGAAGAGATCGATCGTTTCAAGGAAGGAACTCGAAACTTTCCTAATAGAAATTGAGGGAACAATCAATTGTCGACCGCTGACTTACCAGGAGGATGAATGGGAAGACTCTCCCGTACTCAGACCAATCGATTTCGTGCAGAGGGACATCATAGTGACATTTCCGTTCAAATGCCTGCAAGAAAACGGATCGGATAGCAACTTCCTTCCACAGGACGAAGCGATTGCATTAAGAACACGCAGAGAAGCTAAAGAAGCATTAAAGTCTAGCCACCGCCTCACAGGAAAATTCTGGGTCATATCATTACCTCACGAGTCTCAGAGAGGCTCACAAGCTCGAAATCGACAAAAAAGGGCAAGCAGCAAAAGAACCAAGGATAGGAGACCTCGTGCTGATTTCAGACCCAGTACTTCCTCGCAACTCATGGAAAATGGCACGAATAGTCGATCTACCACGAGACAACAACGGGAACATCAGAGAAGCACAAATGAAACTTCCAAGTGGTCGTCTCTGCAAAATACCAGTCAACCGGTTGGTCCGCTGGAGCTAGAAGAAGAGCACATCGAGCCTGGAAAAGAAGCAAACGAGCGTAGCCAGGCCGCTGACGCTAAGCGATATAACCTTCGCCCACGACGGAACGAGGATAGCAGGCACGCAGCCGCAGTCATTCGTCAATCAGTAGATCAATCGCGACTTTGACTCTTTTCATCTGCTTGACAATGCTCCTAATAATACCAGGAGCCCTATCCTTATCTCCAACAGCAACCATATCGGGTGGACAGCTAACGTGTATCAAAGGAGGCGTATCCATCACTAAAGGACTCGTACGTAGCTTCGAACTTTGCGTTGAGGGAATCTGCCAAGTATCAAACAATCCCCGGGACTCGCTATAATCACTTATATCGCCATCGCTCTTCTCTACGCTTTGTGCTAAGCTGATAGGGAAACCGTTCCGCATCGGGGGTAGAATAGCGTGGTCAATCTGCAGAGGCTTCTGTTGGTGTTTGGAAAGATCCGTAGGTGGCAAGGACATCGCAGAAGAATGTTCGACGTCGAGCCATTGCTACGAGCACCGCTCATCGCAGCTGGTCATCATCGTTGCTCCAGCCACCTTAGCTTGCCAGGACATCAAAGTGTTCTCAAGCGAAAACTCCATCTGCACAATCTCATCAAAGGGCAAAAAGGAATGCTCACTGGAAACCACAGAGACCGTCAAAATTAACAGTTTCAGTAGAGAGGGATTGCATTCGACTTTTCAACAACAGCTCGGTGCAAAAGAAAATTCGGGTCCGGTGGAAAGGAGTACGGTTAACCTGCAAGAAAACAAGCGCATTTTTCACAGTACAAGCCAGCGCACAATCGACTCCAAGCGCAGCTCACATTCTGGCTCATGCGTCGCAAGTAAATGTGAGTCAATCAAGACCACATCGTTGATACCACAATTGAGTCAAGGCAACCAGTATCCTGGAATCACCAGATGTGTAGAAAGCTGCGGAGGGCCGGGTGCGGATGCTTCTACCTCAGCAGCGGATGTCTCTTCTATCGCATTTTCCACGTTCCAGTGGACGAGAAAGTGTATGAACTCTTCAAATGTCCGATATGGAAGGAAGAGGTGCTCCTAGATGTTACGGTCATCTCACACAAGCACAAGACCATTACAAATAGGACCACAGCGGTGAAACCAACGGTACCGGTCAAAATAGAGGGGATGAGAATAACTCTCACTACTCTGACTCTACTCCCTACACCCATACTCTCGTCCACATTCATCTCAGACGGAAAAGACTTCGCGATATGGAACCAAAAACAAGCACTTCATCTTCGATGCGACGCAGAGGAATCGGCCAGGACACTAAACTGCACCGCCACCACTTCGTGCAATTGCGATCTTGCCAAAAATAAGGTGAAGTGTCCGTGCCAGGACGTCAACATAACAGATTCCTTCACGAAAGAGATTGGAAGTCGTTTCCCTATCAGATGACCATGGACAACCTTCACAGCGGATGCCACCAAAAAAGTAGCAGTTCACATTCCATCACTAGTGGCCGCTGAAGTATTCGTGCAGCTACGTGAGAACTTTGAGAGGACGGTGAAGGTTGTCACAGACGAAAAGAAAGATGCATTGTTCCAAATTCTGTAGCAAAGGATGTTACCGATGCCTCCAGGGAGCAGAGGCACTGCACAACAGACGGGAACTCAACCCATGTACTCCGAGCGGAGCGAAGACAATATGGCGTTTCAGCCATCCGTCCGCCAAGGTAAAAAAGGAATGTCAAGTTTCGTGCGGCAGTACGACCACCCAATTTGAGATAACGGAAATACATCAGTGGGTGCGCACCCTTAGTGGTGCCGCCGCTCTTATCGCTCAAGGGGAGAGTAATGTATACAACGAGATGATACTACCGGACCTATCTTTGACGTCATTCTGCATTGGTACAAAACGCTGCTATCTGCAGTAGTACTAGTTGCTTGCTCTGGTCATCGGATACACACTGCTATGGACGTGCGAACTTCGTCTTGATCCGGTTAATACGTACTCCAATCCGACTCATGAGCGGAATTATCAAATTTGTTGTATGGATATTCAAGATTGCATGCAAGTCATTGCCTTCAAAAACGACGAAAGGAATGGAAAAGCAGCTTTGAAATCTCTGTCGCATGAGTAGATTGTATTAGATCCCCATATATCCAAAAAGATTCTTCTTCTTCTTCAGAGACAAGCCGACCGAGACGACGACGAGAGACCAAAAAAGCAAAGGTGCAGCCACCGTGACGACATGACGCAAAAGGATGCTGCTCAGGGCCGGGCCTGCAATGAGAACTCATCGAAGCCCACAAATCGGCCCTCTTCTTCCCCCCAGACCAAATCGAGGCCTAATCAGCAGCGTTTGCCACAAGCCAACCCTTGAAGCCGTCGCCAACCCTCCCCTCCCACCCGAAACCCGTCTTCCTCGTCAAAAACCAGCGCAGAAACGTCTGAAGGTGCTACATTGAAAAGAATACTGGATGGATTTCAGTCTTCAGGAGAGGAAGATCTCTTTAAAAAAAGGACATGCATCCGGTACGTCCTCAAAGATCTTCTGCATCAAGGAGGTCGCATCCTGTTACATGCGGCCAGCAAAGTGGATCAGCTAGCTCCAGCTGTTGTTCCTTCACATGAGGCACTACAACACCTCCAGCAGCTAGAGCAGCAGATGAAAAATCAAGGAACAAATCACCCAGATGCAGAATGCCGTAGAAGCGAAAATGGAAAAGATCCCTACAAAGATGGTATCCTTGATTACGTCTCGGAAATGGAGAAGAACAATGCAAGGACCGAAGACACGAACCGCTCGCAAAGACAATTTGTGAAGACCTTTTCAAAAGACTACAGAACCTCTTCGGTCGAAAAACGCGCACAGTGCTTTACGTCAATCGTCCACCGAGCGGAGTAGCCACATCCAGTCATCGGACGTCCCAAAACAACACGCTCAGGCCGAGTCCCTCCCAGAGGAGGAAAGAATCAAACGGCAACTAAGAGAAACAGAGCGAGAATTAGCCACAGTTGAGAGGGAGCTCGTTGGAGTCAGAAACGCGATAGGCGGAATGGGAGCCGAACGACGAAAAGAAAGAGGTATCGCACGAGAGATTGGATCGTCTCAGGGAAAGAAAACACCGTCTCCAAGCTAATTAAGCGCGACTCGAGCAGGAAAGAAGACAGTTGCATGGCCGATTGGAAGAGGAACGTGGACAGAAGCACAGCAATCCGGAAAACGAGACAAGGCAAAAGGACAACAATCGAGGAGTCAAACGTAGCAGGACAAAGGAACATCAGATGGAAGGCAAAGACGACAGAAATCGACCGCGTAGCAGGGATCAGACGGAGGAAGATGGTGCACAACGTGATCGGAAAAGACACGCACGAGATCGCAGCAAACGAAGAGAGAGGCGTACGGAGAACAGTCGAGACGATGAGTCACGCGAGAGCAAAAGGCGACGCGACCGAGAAGCTGACAAGAGGCAGGGAAGACAGCGAGCGGGCACTGACCACACCTCACCCGACCATATCCCGTCCGACTGCACTACAGCTGACCACAGCGAGAGCTGTTAACATGCCGCCGCCCGGTTATAGAGAATTCTCTCTATCCTTTGCCCATACTCTTAGCTTTAGGTTCATAGCTATTGTATAGATAATTCATCCTGTAAGCTGTAGAATCGCTATCAGCAGGCTGATCTTGGTATTGTAATAGAAAACATAGAGCTGGCTCCGCCTAGGCTAAGCATATATAAGGAGGCCAGCTCGCAGTAGAAGAGCAATTGATTCATTTCTTATTGTATCTTTTTACAATGTATGATAAAGTTTAATAACCCAAGTTTGAGGTACGATCAGTCCCGCGTGGCATAAATAGATTGGAACATCGATCAGGCAGGAAATGGACATTGCTGGAAGTCCTGGACGGACTGAACGAAGTCATCAAGGAATTTGAGAAGCTGGATGATTACAAAGTAGATAACAGTGGTTCTGACTTCCTGGTCAATCATGTTTCCATTTTTTTGCTCCACATCACCAACCTCGGAGCGACGGTACCATTGTCAGCCATGCTGTATCTGTGGTTTGCATAATCACCGTACCAGACATTGCCAAGTTGATTTGACTCCTGCTAATCGCCGTATCATCATCAGGACCCTTCGTCTCTGTATCAGATGCTTCCAGTCCGGACACTTTAGTATAGATTGTCACCGTCATAATTGTCGTTACTGTTCTGGCAGTCACCACCATACTTTTTGCCGACGTGCAAGAATAAGAAGCTCCTCAGCAACTTCGCACAAAAAACATCACTGTCGAGAATGTTCCTGTTGGACATCAAGAAGTTCTTCATGCAGCGGCACACGAAGTTCATGGGATGACAGCAGAACCTCGCGATTATCATCTCGCTCGCGTTCTTGTTCGCCAAGACGATCAGTGGCTGGAGCCCATCCATGCATCACAAATGGCCTGATAGACCTGAACGCTCGGAACAACGTACGGTTCGCAAGTCTCCAGTACGTCATAACAACCTACCTCGTGAAACTTCTAGCACAGAACACAGAACGTGGTCTACGTAGCGACACATTCAGAAGACGAACCTGACGGCGTATTCACGTGTCGTCGTTTTTCCAAAGACGCAACTTTTGACAACCTTGGATAACTCCACCACATCCAGTCTTATGACAGTTGAAGCGTTAGCCGTTGATGCGCACTAGTCATTATTCTGCTCGACAGAGGTGCACAAAAAAGCTTCAGTCACGCCATGCAGTCAACAGGCTTCATACTATGGTCTCAAACCCCACTCCACCTACGACTATCACGCTTGGAGCAATACGTCAACAGAGCAGTGGGGTATGGTAGAAATTACTCTTATCGACCATCAAGACGAGAGTTTACAGCTTACTGTTCGCACGAAGAACAAGATCATCCTTCCATGCTCATCGGTTGATCTCACGCCAGAAGATAAGCGGTTCCTTCAGTCTCATACTATCAGCGTCAATTCTTTAATTGTTAACTGCACCGTGATACCGAACATCCTGATATAAATCGACATTTTTTGGGATAGCATCACAACGGATCATTTAAAGACCCTCCCATCATGTCTAGTTCTCTGCTATACACGTTTTGGTCCAACCATTTCAGGACCCACGTTTTTTCGTGGCATATCTGCAACACTTTCTTTAACATTAGTTTTGACCCTTCCTATATCAATAAATCGACCCTGTATCACGTTTCGATCATCTGGACATCACTGGCATCGCCAATGACTCCGACCCCACCCCCTCGAGAACGAAGAAGATGCCCGCATACTCCAACGATCCAGGATACTGTGCAGGACGATGGACATTTGTATGTACAATTTCCATGGGAAACGTATCATCCTAGGCTAGCTGACAACAAGTTTCTTGCTCTCAGACGACTCGAAAGCCAATCTAGGTTCCTCGTCATCAAACCTTCGAACGGACCTATGGAAACTCTACGCTTAGACGACTGAAGACTACTTGGCTAAAGGAATAATCGAGGAAGTTGAGAAAGACCACTTCGACGACCACAGAGTCGACTATATTCCCCATCAAGCCGTTATCGAAGAATCGTCAGCCACGCTGAGCTAAGAGTTGTTTTCTATGCAACTCATTACAATGAGCAGCTATCTTCAACGACTGTCTCCATTCCGGTCCATCTATCCGGCCAGACCTCGTCGAATTCTTCTTTGGTCCCGTCTAGCCCCCATTGCCCTTATAGCAGATGAAGAAGAAGGAGCATTTTTGTTAATTCGTCGTCCCCAAAGCAACCGGAGAGACGTCACGCGATTCCTCTGGCTAGTAGACCCATCATTACCATTAACAGAGAACAATCTTCGAATATGCCGCTTACGAGTTTCCCCCTTCGGTATAACGGCGTCGCCATTTCTGCTTGCAGCTTTCATTCTGTACCATCTACGTTGTGATCCGAACTTCTCGCTGAACAAGGAGATTGAAGACAACACGTACGTCGACAACATCTTATTGACAGCGTCCACCACGGAGGAGGCGATACGGAAGTAGCACGATTCCGAGCATTGTTTGCATCTGTGGACATGAATTTACGTCAGTTTCTATCCAGTTCTTCCGTTGTTAACAAAGCCATCGATACTCGTAACCGTATGCCTCATAGGTCTTCGGTTTCATTGTTGGGCATCCAGTGGGACATCGCCTAGGATACCCTTCACATTGCTATCAAACAATACGCAAGCCAGCTAATTCAGAGCGCCCCGCACGGAGAGCGTTCGCCTCAACGATTGATCCACTAGGTATTTTGTCTCCCTTTCTTGCTCAACTTAAAATCTTTCTGCAAGACATGTGGACTAAGTCCTATCAATGGGATGACACCTTTGAGGCCGCAGATCTCGCTCGCTGGCACAAGCTTATCGAGGATCTTTCAACATCTATCTCTACGATTCCTCTTTGCATACCGTCGTTCAACTCGACAATCGAATGTGAACTTTTCGTCTTTGGAGAGGCTTCTGAACGCCTATACGCTTCAGGCGTCTTCCTCCTTTGCCGCACTAGTTCACTTGTTGCGGTTCTAATGGCTTAATCCCTATCTGGCCCTCACAAACCAACCACTATGCCTTGTATGGAACTATTAGCCACTCTCGCCAGTGCGCGACTTGTCCGTTTCGTTTATACACAGCTGCAGCTCAAGATCTCAGCTGTACTTTTTCGGACTCGCAGTTCGTTATACATTGGATCCACTCTTTGCGTCCACTTCGCATGTTTGCCAATAGAATTGCAAAGATCCACTCTATTACCGGACAATTCCGTTCCGGTTCTATCCCTCTTCATTCTACTGTCCAGTCTCACAATAATTCTGCTCATTTTGCATCACGTGGAATTCCTACCAGTCTCGCTGATAACCATATATGGTGGACGGTCCTTCATTCTACGTTTACCATTTTGACAATGGTCAGGATATTTCGACTTTACAAGACCACCTGCGAATGACGATGAAGTACAAAAGGAATATCAAACATTTGTTGCCACGGAGACACTCTAGCATACTTCCCGCTTCGTTTTCGGTTCATTGGTCCTTACGATCTATAGTTTACAGCTTCAGTCTATCACCTGCTTAGCCAATAAGATCAAGATTACTCAACGATCCTTCGAATTTAGCAAATTCGACTTAAAGACACATGTTACGCTTAAACACATTGAGGGTGCATGAGACTATCAGCCCCCCAGCTGTCGGTGTCGTGGTCCCCCCGCCTAAACATGCCCAGGAATGGAGATACAGGACCGTGAAACACGCTAATTCCTCCATGCTTCGCCTCACACCTTTTTGCGGCGCAGATTCCCGTTCTTCATAACATCCGTCGTAAGCGTGCGTGTCGCGTGCGGCTCCTTGGCACTGTGCCAAGTCCTTTAGTCGCGCTTTCAAATACAAGTAAAACGCAATTTCCTGATGCGGATAACATTGGAGGCCAAATAAGAACCGAAGATGATGACGAGGGCCCAGAACTCAAAGAGCAACTCGGCTGCATCTGCAGTCTCTATCAGAGGCCGCGCATTCCCACAAAACATGAGAATAAAACAGCCCAAGCGTCCCTCTCGTTTGTTCTAGGTGTTTCTATGGCTTTGGCGCCGAATATGCGCCAGATCGTAGAAATTTACAGGCGATTTTAAATAATTTGCTCCTTGATTCTTTCATTTTTGTTTTGTTTACATTTACATCGTTGTGCTTCATTTCTAGCCTGTGTCATCTTCATCTCGTTGTACATGGATTTTGAAGCATGAGCAACACCTAAAATTTTATTCGCATCAGGGAATTGCCTTCAAACTAACGAGTATGCCATTTTTATTTTCAAGTTTCGTGGAAATACGCGGCCCCGAGGGATGTTGCAGAAGTGGCATAGTTATAGTTTTTTTTTTAGCTTTTAAGTTCTGGCCCTCGTCATCATCTTCTGTTCTTATTTTGTAGCACCTCCAATGTTATCCCACATCAGGAAATTGCGTCTTACTTGTATTTGAAAGCGCAATTAAAGGACTTGGCAAAGTGCCAAGGAGCCGCACGCGACACGCGCGCTTACGACAGATGTTATGAAAGACTGGAATCTGCGCCGCAAAAAGGTGTAAGGCGGAGGAATTAGCGCGTTTCACGATCCTGTTCTCCATTCCGGGCATGTTTGAGCGGGGGACCACGACACATCGACAGCTGGGGCTGATAGTCTCATATGCCCTCAATGTGTGTGAGCGTACTATGTGTCTTTAACGAAGAAAATCACTCGATGGAACAAATTACGCGGAACGCTTCGGAAATGAAAGAACACTACAGCGAGAGCGAATTAACTTGAGCCAAATTCTACTTTGGCAAAACAACGCACATTGGTCATACTATCAGGTTGATCAAAAGTTTCGATAAGGTTTTTTAAAGTTCCAGAACTTTTGATTCTTGATCGATACCAGTCGTGATAGCATGTGGTAGTGTGAACATTCTAGAAGCTCCTCCGTAATGGGGTATGTAGGTGCGATCCTCCTTTAGCTTAAAGGCACTTTCGCAAAATAAGGCTATGACCTTTCAAATGTGTCAGACGATCCGGAAGGAGA